AGGGAAAACAGACCATGGGAGGGAGGGAGGGAAGGAGGGAGGGGACCATGGAAGTTGCTTTTATAACCCAGAGTCCTTTTCTCAGCAACATCAATGTGTAGAGCAGATGAAGGGCCCCCACTCTGACTGAAGCCTTGGGGGGAAGTGTCCCGAGCCCGGGCTGCTCACCCTCCCTCATCCTCTGCAGGGCCCTCATGACGCTGTGGGATACAGTCTGGATGTGAGGTTTGTGGAGGGAGCAATGGGGAGCTGTGACGTCATTGAGTGATGTGCTCAACCTCTTGTTTTCAGAGGATGGAGCCAGCGTGGCTGTGGCTGTGGCTGCTGGGAGCAGGGATCCTGGCCTCTGCCCATGGAGACAAGAGCCCGGGGTTGCCTCAAGCCCCCAGGGGTCGGCTCTCAGAGCCAGCGCCCGCCTACCGCCAAGTCACACCCACCATTACCAGCTTTGCTTTGCGCGTGTACAAGCAGCTGGCAGCGGAAACCCCAGGAAACATCCTCTTCTCCCCAGTGAGCATCGCCAGCACCCTGGCCCTGCTCTCTCTCGGGGCCCAAGCCGATACCTCCACCCAGATCCTGCAGGGCCTGGGCTTTAACCTCACGGAGACCCCGCAGGCCAGCATCCACTGCGGCTTCCAGAGCCTCATCCACGCCCTTGACCTGCCCAGTCCCAAACTGGAGCTGAAAGTAGGCCACTCCCTGTTCCTGGACAAGCAGCTGAAGCCTCGTCAGCGCTTTCTGGACGACATCAGGGAGCTGTATGGAGCCTTGGCTTTCTCTGTTAACCTCACGGATTCTGCCACAGCCTGGAGGCAGATGAATGACTACGTGAGGAAGCAAACGTACGGGCAGGTGGTGGACTGCTTGCAGGAGTTCAGCGAGGACACGCCCATGGTTCTCCTGAACTACATCTTCTTCAAAGGTGAGTGCTAGCCTGGCAGACTGATCACTTCCTCCACCTCCAGCTCCGCCCTACAGCTGGGCCCCACCCTCTATCCCTGGCCCACCTCACCATCGACCCCGCCCACCACCTCGGCCCTACCCTCCACCTCCAGCCTCTCCCTCAAAGGCACCATCCTAAAGTCACAAATGTTTCTTAAGGCAGTGACCCCTGCATCCTATATAATAAAAGGCTAATACACAAATCAACCGAACGGTGGAATGACTGGTTGTAATGACATGCATTGACCACCAGAGGGCAGACACTCAATGCAGGAGCTGCCCCCAGGTGATCAGTGCACTGCCAGAAGCCAGGCTCACAGCTGCGAGCGCAGAGGCAGTGGCAGGAGAGGCTCCACGGGCAGCGCTAAGGATGTCCCATTGCTAGCTTAGGCCCACTCCCGGCAGGGGCTCCCAGACTGTGAGAGGGCGCAGGCCCAGCTGAGGGACCCTGCCCTGAGTGCATGAATTTCATGTACCGGCCCTATAGTATTCAATAATGTTCTTATACCACTACTTCTTCATTTGCAAATATTTGGTTTCTCTTGCCATGTTTTTTCTATTCTATTTTTATTCTGATTCTTTTTGTTATACACTCAGTCTCACTTTTCTATTAATAATTCAATTTTAGAAAAATGTCTTTTACTTATTCATATATTTTTATTTCAGAGAGGAATGAAGAGGGAGAGAGAGAAACATCAATGATGAGAATCATCGCTCAGCTACCTCCTGCACGTCCTCTACTGGGGATTGAGCCCATAATCCCGGCACATGCCCTGACTGGGAATCTAACTGTGACCTCCTGGTTCATAGGTCAACGCTCAACCACTGAGCAATACCAGCCGGGCAAATATTTTATTTTTATATTATTATTGATTTCAAACATACAGAAATATACAAAGAAAAATATAAAACCACCATACATTCCCCCCACCAAGAATGAACACATTAGCATTTTACCATTTGATTCAGACATTTAAAAAAATATGACAGATAAAGTTCCATTTCTTTTTAATGCTTTCCTCGTCCCCTTTCCTTCCCTCCGTCCCTCCTGGAGGCCAGGACTGTCCTCGGGCAGGTGTGCATCCCCCTCACCCATGTGTGTGCGCCGTGAGCTCATTAAGGGTGTGTACATCATCAGTTACACACTGTGTGTAAAGATTTTACACAAATGCTCTCGTCCTGTATATATTATTTCACACTTATGTGTTAGTGTCATTACCATGTTATATTTATATAGATAATTTTGACTGTTGCATTGAACATGTCACAATTTTTGTTTGTTTTTTAACTTCAGTTCTTTCCTGAATTCGTACATCTATCTTTATACTTTTCATGCTTTTTTGTTTTTACCTCATGTTGTTTCCTATTCCGAGGTCCCATCCATGATCTACCTTACACTCAGTCACGTCAGTTTAGGCTCCTCTTGGCGGGGACAGCTTCTCAGCCTCTCCTTGCCTTTAATGGCTGTGCTGATGGGGTGGAGGACTGCCAGGTGTTCCGTAAAATACCCTCAGGGGGGATTTGTTTGATGTTTTTCCCAGGAGGAAGGCTGGGTGAGAGGACTTGGGAGATTTATGGTAAGAGACGGTTCCCCACCCTGTAGCGCAGGGTTGCACGTGCGTGCGTAGATGAGGAAAAAGGCAGTCACAGCTCAGTGGGAGTGGCACTCTGCACGGGGAGGGGTGGGTGCCATGGGCTCCTGCAGAGACCCTCGCCCAGCCTTGGGGAGTGGCGGGAGGCTCTCTGGGAGAGAAGGAATCTAAGCCGGACATGAAGAATGAAGCTGCAGGAGAGGCTGAGAGAAGGGGTTTCAGAAGAGACAGCAGCGTTAAGTAGAAGCCCGAGCTACAGAGATACCACGTGTTCTCAGGAATGAAGCACATTGGTTGGACTGAGACAGAAGGAATTGGGGGTTGCCTGGGGCAGTGCGAGCGCTGCAGTGAGAAGATGAGCTGGAGTTGTGCTGAGAGTCCTAGACTGTCTCTGGGACCCAGGATTCCCAAACAGCTGGAAGAGGGAAGGGGCATGGCCACATCTGTTTTGAGGAAGATCAGTCTGGCTACAATGTAGAAAATGGGTTGGGGGAAGTGAGGGTTGGAGAGACAAGTTAGGACGTTCTTAAAGTGGAACAAAGTGAGAAAGAGGGTGGCCTTGGATACAGTAGCGGCTGTGGGGAGAGGGTCGGCGATACTTGGTCATTGGTTGGGTGTCCTCACAGATCTATGGGTTTGTGTCCTCACGATTCTATGGGTTTTGTGTTCTCGTGGTTCTATGGGTTCTGTGTCCTCACGGATCTATGGGTTTTGTGTCCCAAGCCAAGTGGAAGCATCCTTTCCAGCGCTACCAGACCCAGAAGCAAGAGAGCTTCTTCGTGAACGAGAGGACCTCCCTCCACGTCCCCATGATGCACCAGAAGGAAATGCACAGGTTCCTGTACGACCAGGAGCGGGCCTGCACGGTGCTGCAGATCGAGTACAGCGGCAACGCTCTGGCCCTGCTCATCCTCCCGGACCCGGGGCAAATGCAGCAGGTGGAGGCCGCTCTGCAGCCAGAGACCCTGCGGACATGGAGTCAGCTGCTCGTGCCCAGGTAAGCTACGAGGAGCAGGACTCCGGCACACCTGGTGCAGGTCCCCGAGCAGTTCTTAACTCCAAGTGCAAGGGGCCAACCCTAGGTTAGGATGACCAGCTGTGATCTTGGGCAATTTTCTTACCTTCTGGGCCTCAGATTTCCTCCCCTGTACACCGAGGCCCTGGTAACCTCGACACTGGGTTGTTTGGAGGATTAACCGCGTGAATATACATGGAGCACCGAGGAGCGACCTGGTGCGTGAGAAGCGCTCACCAGGGGAAGTGAGGGCTGAGTCATTCTCCGCCCTCCCGGGCATCTTTCTGCTCAGCCTCCCTTCCCTTGCTTCTCCCTTTGTCCAAATCATGATTTACTGTCAGAAGATAGTCAGCTGTGGCAAAAAAATCAGGTCAAGGACAATTACTAAGAATAATTATGACTCCCACAGGACAGTGTGAATTTCTTACAAGTGCATCTTTTGTTAATTAAAACATTTCTTAAAGAAATTAAAAACCAAGAAGAGCACTGTAAAATCAGATCCCAGTTTAATGGGATCGCAATCTGACCCCCTCCTGTCTCTTGCTTGTCAGTTTGTGGTTTTCTCACAGTAGTTTCAGTCTTTTCCAGTTTGGCTAGACCCCTTCAAGAGCCAACTCCTTCTTGGGGTGTGTCGTCCCTTATGAGGCACCTGGGATGAAAGCCGGCCTTGAGGTCTAATGACCTCTGCTGCTAACAAACCACCCCAAAACGGAATGGCTTGGAAAACAACATCTACTCTCTCTCGATTCTGTGAGTGGATCAGCCTAGCTGGGCAGTTCTGACTTGGGGTCTCTCCTGCACTGGAGTCAGATGATGGCTAGGGCTGGGGCATGAAGACTCCTCCGCTCAGATGTCTGGTGCCTGGGCTTGGTGGCTGTCACAGCTAAGGGCTGGGCAGGCATCTCTCTGTCTCCATGCAGCGTCTCCATAAAGCTAGCTTGGTCTTCTGTCTCCACGTAGGGTCTCCACGAAGCTAGTCTGGCCTTCTCTCTGTGTCCATCCAGCGTCTCCACGAAGCTAGCTTGGTCTTCTGCACAGCAGCTCAGCATCATTGATATTGTTACATGGCAGCCCGGGGCTCCAAGGAGACACGGAGTCAAAGCTCCTGCTCTCTTAAGGCCTTGGCTTGGAAGGACAGCTTCTGTCCTGTCCTGTTGGCCAGAGCATCACAGAATCCACCAGCGTCAAGGGGCGGGGTACAGACAAACCTCCTGATCCCTCTCTAGCCTACCACCAGCCTCCGCTCCGCACCCCAACCACACCGAGGTTCCAGGGAGAGTAAAGGATGTTTTGTGTTTGGACAGAGATTCCAGCACCAAATAAAAGAAATACGGGTCAAGGACAGAGGCCAGGTCTAAGGACGTTTCCTTGTTGACTGTGAATCTACACAGCTCCTGTCAGTTTCTGAGTCCAACCCCATCACCTCAGCTCCCTTGAGGTGAGCTTGCCTCTTTCCCCTCTCACGAGGAAGTCTCATAGGATCTTCTAGACCAGCGGTTCTCAACCTGTGGGTCGGGGGTCACCTAAGACCATCGGAAAACACATATATAATTACATATTGTTTTTGTGATTAATCACTATGCTTTAATTATGTTCAATTTGTAACAATGAAAATACATCCTGCATATCAGATATTTACATTATGATTCATAACAGTAGCAAAATTACAGTTATGAAGTAGCAATGAAAATAATTTTATGGTTGGGGGTCACCACAACATGAGGAACTGTATTAAAGGGTAGCGGCATTAGGAAGGTTGAGAACCACTGTTCTAGACCAATAGGTTTTCCTTCAGGATGGGTCTGTTTTGACCTCTTACTTGGACCTTCAAGAAGCAAAATCAACCCAAGTGACTTTCCTAAATCTCAGATGTTTCTCAGGCCAGAGTTAAATTTTAGAGCATTTTAATGGGCTTTCAGCATGAAAACTTCAGACCTGCCCCCCTCCTCCGGTCTGGTCTCCCTCCGTCCACTCAGCTGGGAGGACGGTTCGCTAGCCTGGGGAAAGCACACTTCCTGGTAACGTCCTTCTTCACTCACATTGGGTGGACACGTGGGGTGTGTCCAGCAGCCTGCTGGACTTGCACTTGCCAAGGTTTGCCATTTCTGGAGCATATAACCTGGAAGAGATACTTCCCCACATCGGGCTCGGCAACATTTTCAACTCAGGAGCCGACTTGTTGGGAGCCCCTGGGCGGCTGAATGGAACCATCTGGGTACAGAGGTGACTCTACGCAAACCCCCCTCAAGGGTGGGGCCTGCCCTGCTCTCCACCTCTGTTTCCTCCTTTTCACAGTTTAACCCCAACTTCTGACTGCCCCCACTTCACATGGGCACCTGGACCCTCACGCTGCCCCCAGGAGTTCGAGTGTAAGGGTTCCCTAACCTGAATTCGGCTCTCCAAGCTGGACTCATTAGAGGCAGAAGTTTCTGAGCTGGTTATTCACCAGCCCAGCTTGCAGGTGCCCCCAGTAACTGTCGAGTAACTAAGAAGAATAACCCCCAAAAGAAAAGGACAGGTTTGCTCTGTGTTCAAAGAACCTGCAAACTGAACCCAGGAAATGCTGGTCAAGGCATGTCAGGAGCCGGAGAGTCACGCTGGCGATCGGTGCCCACGCTTGATGGTCACTGCCTCTCATCAGACCCTGAAGCTCAGACAGTGAGAGACGAAGGGCTTGTATAGGGGGTTGCCAATAGATGGGTTTAGGAAGTAGTTCAGAGGCTAGGCCAGCCGTGGGCAAACTACGGCCCGCGGGCCAGATCTGGCCCGTTTGAAATGAATAAAACTAAAAAAAAAAAAAAGACCGTACCCTTTTATGTAATGATGTTTACTTTGAATTTATATTAGTTCACACAAACACTCCATCCATGCTTTTGTTCCGGCCCTCCGGTCCAGTTTAAGAACCCATTGTGGCCCTCGAGTCAAAAAGTTTGCCCACCCCTGGGCTAGGCCGACAGAACTTGCTGAGGAGCAGACGTGGACGTAGGAGAATGTTAACAACAGTCGCCTTAGGTGGGAAGTATGTGGATCTGAGCAGTTACGCTTTGTAAAAACCCTGGCCCAGTGCCGGGCGTCTAGAAAGCCCCCCTCGCTGTGCCCCTTCTCAGATCAGACAGAGAGGCCTGAAGGGCTCTGGGAAGAGGCCACAGAGCTCTACAATGTCCGAGGAGAAGGGCTGTGGGCTGGGGGCTGTGGAATGTTCTGGCACAGCAGGCAGTGTCCCAGGAAGACTGGTTCCCCTCACTCTGGGAAGCACTTCTTCCTGCCAGCACGCAGGCTGCCCACAGCCAGGGGTGGCCTCCCTGTCTGGTTCTCTCCGCAGCGTGCTAGACTTGCACTTGCCAAGGTTTGCCATTTCTGGAGCATATAACCTGGAAGAGATACTTCCCCACATCGGGCTCAGCAACATTTTCAACTTAGGAGCCGACTTGCTGGGAGCCCCTGGGCGGCTGAATGGAACCATCTTCCGGGTACGGAGGCCACCGGGCCGGGCAGGTGGGAGGGGGTCTTCTCCCCCTTGACATGAAGTGTAGATTTGAAAGTCAAGTTCTCCTTTCTCTTTCCTATGCCGGTTCTTTAATGTCACAACCTGTGAGGCTCCCTTTCCTGGCAGCACCCTTTCCAGCTCTCTCTCCAGTCCTCAGAGCAAGGAGACAGAGTCCGTAATAGAGATGACACACATTCGGTGACATCCAGGTGTGGGGCAACTTTGCTCTGTCTCCTACACTTCCTCCTAAGACAGAGCTGAGGAGAGCAGAGACAGCCGGTCCCATGGAGCGCATTTGAACCGCTGACTGAGGCTGGAGCAGGCCATTATAGAGATGAGAAAACTGAGGCTTAGCGAGAGGAAGTGCAGCTGGTGGTGGAAAATGATACCTGGGCCTGTGCCACATGCTCCCAGGGGCTGAGAACGTTCTGGAGAGTGCTGTTGGGTTTCTGCGGCCTGGCTCAGGCTCGCTGGTCTCCCCACCACGAAGCAAATGCACCTTCAGGGTGAGCCCCCAGAACATGGCAGGGGGAAGATGGGGAGAGGAGGAAAATAACACGAAGCTGGAGGTGCCGTCTTGGAAGGCGGGGCCTGGGAGACCTGAACACTCTGCCTGCCTCTCCTGGTGCCCCACAGGGCAGACTCTGCCCTCGGAGTGTCCTGAGCTGTCCCTGCCCTCTCTTCTCCTTCTAGGTGTCGCACAAGGCAGCCATGGACATTAGTGAGCGGGGAACCAAGGCTGGGGCTGCCTCCGGCCTCCTCTCCCAACCCCGGCCTCTGAACGTGACATGGGCCCCCCACGCCCGTTTCAACAGGCCTTTCCTGGTGCTTGTCTGGGAGGTGACCACCCAGAGCTTACTCCTCCTGGGAAAGGTCGCCAACCCAGCTGCAGGCTGACGCCGGGGAGGCAGGAGGGTCCTGTCGCCCCTGCAAACCCGCAGGCAGTCCTCAGCCACCCGCAGGCCGATGGGAGGAATGTTCATCCGTGTGCAGAGGCCCGAATAAAGTTGCCTTGGGTGTTGTGAGCACTGAGAGCAATGCTCACAAGGAAGGTGGCTCCACGTTGCCCTTCATTCGCCCCACAATCCCCTTGAATCTAGTGTCGCCTTCACCTGTGGTCAGAAAGTTGACAAGGAGAAGAGCTCCATGTTATGTCCTGGAAGATGTCCACACCACCGTCACCAAGTGTCCCAGGAAAAGGCACAAAGGACATCAGGAGAAATTAGAGTCTCCCCCTTCACAGTGGCCACCGTCAACTCTAAAGCAAAGCGAGGTTGTCCTGAAACGTCACTGCCCAGGCGCCAGGGCAGATCCCTTGGGAGGAGGTGGGTGCCAGAGCAGGCACCTGGCACCATGCTCCATGCAGAGGAGGGTGGGAGGATGGGCCAGTGCACAGATGGACCAGTGCAACATGGGAAGTCACATGTCCAAGGACACCCCAAGGTCAAAGGAAGTGGGAGCGTTAACATGGCCAGGAGCCAATGGGTATAGGCCAAACCCGTGGTTAGTGGGATGGACTGGGGCAGTATCTGGTCGCCGTGGAGCATCCTGCTGAGGTCAGAAGTCCCTCGCCCACAAGTGTGTCCCTGAGTCTTAAAGAGGCATCTGCCTGAAACTGTGGGAGACGCAGAGGGCTGTCACCTCAGCTGCATGCACAGGGTGGACCACCTGCTGCAGGAAGATGGGCGGTTAGAAGGCAAGTGGGGCACGGAGCCTTCTCCAGGGTGCAGAAAGAACAGACATGAGAGCTTGCTCGTTGGCTCACATGCTAACCCGCGGGGTCTGCACTCATGGGTATAGTTTCCAAGGCCAAGTGTCAAATTCAGTTTGTGGGCCACCAGTTTTCAATCCCTACAAAATGTTCAGGCCACTAAATGTTTAAATAATATCAGGATAGAGAAGTCCATCCACTTACACCAAATAGAGTAAGATTAATGAGGCAATACTGGATCATAAGAGTCTGTGGAGATGCCTTGATCAACTTTGTGTTTGGGGAGGGGGGAAATGTTTGTCAAAGTAATGGGGATCCCTCAGATAAAGAGGGGTAAAGGGTAACTTAAGCCTGTGTCTTATCATCCACCATTTACACAGAGAGCAGCAGAGAGGAAAAACCCCACTCACTGCCTTAAAGGCTAGAGCTGCCCCCTGCTGGTTAGAGAGGGTGGCTGATACATTCCCTCTTCTCCCTAGAGCAGTGGTTCTCAACCTTCCTAATGCCTCTACCCTTTAATACAGTTCCTCATGTTGTGGTGACCCCAACCATAAAATTATTTTCGTTGCTACTTCAT